TCATAGCACATGTGGTGTGAATGCAATATCATTGGTGAAAGTATCATGTTCCATGAATTTTGTTCTGTTTCATATGCAGGTTGAAGCAACTGAAGTTTTCTTTTCAGTTACAAAGCTTTTTCAGTCGAAAGATACAGGTTTGAGGAGAATGGTCTACTTGATCATAAAGGAGTTATCTCCGTCATCGGATGAGGTTTGCCATCTATATACTCAATTTTAATACGAAAATCATGGCGTTTATTGTAGGTATATTGTCTGATAAGTTGTTTGGTCTTTCTCCCATAGGTTATCATCGTAACTAGCTCCCTTATGAAGGACATGACCAGTAAAATTGATATGTATAAAGCAAATGCAATCCGTGTTCTCTGCCGGATTATCGATGGATCCCTTCTCACTCAAATTGAGCGATACGTGAAACAATCCATTGTGGATAAGAATCCCGTTGTTTCAAGTGCAGCTTTGGTCAGTGGGCTTCACTTGCTAAAGGTAACTTTTACACACCAAAAGCTATTTTTGGCTGTTTCTTAGTTGCCAGGTTATGCTTATATTCTTATGATGTTGTTTTCAGACGAACCCAGAAATTGTTAAAAGATGGAGCAATGAGGTTCAAGAAGGTATTCAATCCAGATCAGCCCTTGTTCAGTTTCATGCCCTAGCTTTGCTTCATCAGGTAAGTCTGTTGCATTGGTACTACCGAAGTAAATTGGTTTATGTTTCTGTTTTTTGTTTAATTAAACAGCCACTGAGAAGAAGTATCTTGAATATAGAGAGGTGTTACTATGAGTATTGACTAGAAACAAAAACAAAAAAATTTATCTAGTGGATCAAATCTCTTTACTATGGTCATTTTCCAACAACTTTATGTACTTGTGAAGTTAAATCTGTGTCTGGAGTCTGTCTCTTGTTCTACTGAGTCTAGCCTATGTAACTTATTAGGTTGGAAGGAACCTATTATGTGTCTAAGTTGTACTAGTTAGCAAATGATCAGTATAGCTGCCGTTCCAGTGATATAAAATGGCTCCCAACACAAGATGCTTTCCTTCTTTGTTTATAAAGTTAGTGAGAATTGACCTAATACCTGTTGACAATCAATCATCATATGCAGATACGCCAAAATGATCGCTTGGCTGTTAGCAAGTTGGTTGGTAGCTTGACCAGGGGATCTGTCCGCTCTCCCTTGGCTCAGTGTCTTTTGATAAGATACACCAGTCAGGTTAGTCCTCTATGTCGTTTGATCATCTGATATGTGGTTGAAAGTATTTGTGTGAACTAGCTCTAGTTTCTGTTGTTCAGGTCATCCGTGACATGTCCAACCATGGTCAGTCTGGAGAACGTCCGTTCTATGAATTTCTGGAGAGTTGCCTGCGCCATAAGGCAGAAATGGTGATCCTTGAGGCTGCGAGGGCGATCACTGAGCTTGATGGTGTGACAAGCCGAGAATTGACTCCAGCAATCACTGTTCTCCAGCTCTTTTTGAGTTCCCCCAGACCAGTGTTGAGATTTGCTGCTGTCCGGACTCTGAACAAGGTTTACAATGCTTTCTTAGATGAAATTTCAATCAAAAAGTCTTTCATCTCTTTTCTATGTACATTGAGAAATACCCAAAAAATGTGATGTTTTTCTGGATAGATTCATCATTTTGTTTATTATAGAGAATAAGTAGATATTTCACTGTATACTAAACGCAATTTTGAACCACAGGTTGCAATGACTCATCCTATGGCTGTCACCAACTGCAACATTGATATGGAGAGTCTAATTTCTGATCAGAATAGAAGCATTGCTACACTTGCAATCACCACTCTCTTGAAAACAGGGAACGAATCAAGTGTAGAACGCTTGATGAAGCAGATAACTAATTTTATGTCAGATATTGCTGATGAGTTCAAAATTGTGGTCGTGGAAGCAATAAGATCGTTGTGTGTGAAATTCCCACTGAAGTACAGATCCTTGTAAGTGAATTTTTAGGATATGTTAATATTTTGTCTCTAGCATTGACACTCTTTTGGATGACTTATATATGTTACTGTGTTTTATGATTAATCTGTGTCACCCTTTCATTTGTAGGATGACCTTCTTAAGCAACATTCTTAGGGAAGAAGGTGGATTTGAGTATAAAAGAGCAATAGTAGATTCTATTGTGACCATTATCAGAGATATCCCTGATGCGAAGGAAAGTGGATTGCTTCATCTTTGTGAATTCATTGAAGATTGTGAATTCACATATCTTTCAACACAGGTAAATCATTTTCTCCATCATCCATCTGGGGTTGTTATAAAAACTGTTTGCGTGGTATCTAAATGTGTTTTGTCGCACAGATCCTTCATTTTCTGGGAATTGAGGGACCTAACACCTCAGATCCAAGCAAGTATATACGATATATTTATAATCGTGTGCATCTGGAAAATGCCACTGTCCGGGCTGCTGCTGTTTCCACACTTGCAAAGTTCGGGTTTATGGTTGAATCCTTGAAGGTAAGTATAGTTATCCTATTAACCATTTCTTTTCGTTTTATCATCCTTGACTAATGATAAAGAGCACAATCATTGGATGTTCCGCAGCCCAGGATCACCGTTCTGTTGAAGCGCTGCATCTATGACAGTGATGATGAGGTGCGTTCATAGTCTTAGTCTAGAAAATCTGCCTCCTAGTCGTTGGTTGCATTTCTGTTTCTGTACTTTTTTTTGTACCCCTGAGTCGGTTGCATCATTAACAAGCATGCATGTGTTTGCCTTTGTAAACATTTTCTGAGAGGAGATTGATGCTAGTTGTTTGATGGCTCCTTCCTTGATCTTATGAGTTACAACCTCTCTATTTTTTTTTGAAGGTCCGTGATAGAGCAACACTATTTTTGAGTATTCTTGCTGGTGATGGTACTGTTGACACTGATAAAGATAGCAAGGAGTTTCTATTTGGTTCCCTGGAAGTTCCTCTGGTCAACATGGAAACCAGTCTGAAGAATTATGTGAGTTTTCCACTTCTCGATTTTCTTCTTTTCATATGCTTCTTCGGACATCAGTTATCTTATACTTTGATCCTGCAGGAGCCCTCTGAAGAAGCTTTTGATATCAACTCTGTTCCTAAGGAAGTCAAATCCCAGCCTCTTGCAGAGAAGAAAGCCCAGGGTAAAAAGCCCACCGGTCTCGGTGCGCCACCAGCTGCACCTGCTTCTGGTTTTGATGGCTATGAAAAACTTCTCTCATCTATTCCAGAGTTTGCCGCCTTTGGAAAACTCTTCAAGGTTAGGGGTGAATTTTCTTTTCCGTTTCGATCTAATGTTATTTGGTTTACCTCAATTGCTTTAACTTGTACTTCCTTTTTCAGTCTTCTTCACCTGTGGAGCTAACTGAAGCAGAAACAGAATACGCCGTCAATGTTATAAAGCATATCTTTGACAGTCATGTGGTGTTTCAGTACAACTGCACTAACACAATACCAGAGCAGTTGTTGGAAAGGGTACTGAACATTGGTGTAGAACATAATCGATTCATCTGGCATTCACCTTTGCCTTCTTTCCTCACTTTATTTCCTCGCATGGTTTTGTAGGTCAATGTCATTGTAGATGCTTCAGAAGCAGAGGAATTCAGTGAAGCAGCTTCAAAGGCCCTAAACTCACTCCCTTACGATTCCCCTGGGCAAGCATTTGTGGCTTTTGAGAAGCCAGCTGGGGTCCCTGCTGTTGGAAAGTTCTCCAACACATTGACTTTCGTTGTTAAGGAGGTACATGTTAAATAGGCTTTTCACTTCCATGTTTTTTATACGAATACTTATAATTAATCACAGGAAAAAGGGAAAGAATATGACTAGTTTGTTTTGTGCATTTATAAATGTGGTTGTAACAGGTTGACCCAAGCACAGGTGAAGCAGAGGATGATGGAGTAGAAGATGAGTACCAGCTGGAGGAGCTTGAGGTTGTAGCTGCAGATTACATGGTGAAAGTAGGCGTCTCCAATTTCAGGAATGCATGGGAAAGCATGGATGAAGAAGATGAGCACGTAGACGAATACGGCCTTGGCCAAAGAGAGAGTTTGGGAGAAGCTATTAAGGCTGTCATGGATCTTCTTGGCATGCAGCCTTGTGAGGTTAGTCTCTTCCGCCTTTTCTTCTCATACTAAAAAATGGAGAAACTACTGTAAAGGAAGTTACGTTTGGTGATATAACTTGAAACTGACAAATTGCAGGGGACGGAGACAGTTCCGAGCAATGCAAGATCACACACTTGCTTATTGTCAGGTGTGTACATAGGGAACGTGAAAGTGTTAGTGAGGGCACAGTTTGGAATGGACAGCACAAAAGAGATTGCAATGAAACTGGCGGTTAGAGCTGAGGACGTCTCTGTCGCCGAGGCCATCCACGAGATTGTTGCCAACGGCTAAAAAAATAGCACTTATCTACAGGTACCAAAGAGTGTTATTATAAACAAAGAGACTTTTCTTCCTGTTGCGAAAGATTCTCTCTTCTTACCCAAACCTCAAATACATCTACCATCTTTTAAATAGCAGCATTAGTAATTTCTTTCTTGTCTACATTATTACTGTCAAATACTATATGGAGATTTTCCTTTTATGATGATTTTTGAATTTGATAAGTTGGGAATCTTCAGATTGTCTTGGTCGCTCAGAATTTGTTTATATTAGAATTTTGCTGTTCAAATCCTAAGTTGAGAAAACGGCACTAACCCAGCTACGTTCAAGCTCAAGAGATGATGATACTAATAACTTGTGGATACACGAGAATTCACATTGTTTTATATGGTTTGCCAAATATTCAAATGAAGAATAAATAAATCAAAAGCACACTACAAACAAAGGGGAATTTTTGATCCTCTCAAACAACTCCACAATGTTAAAATCAAACACCCTTCCCCATTTTCCACAAAGATTACAAAACCGACCTTACCGGGTTTTACTTCCAGACTACAGAAATATATTAACCAAACAACCAACCAGAACTGGAAATGAAGCTGAGACACGACTCCTACGTTTGTTTCTTGTCTTCTTCATATCACTCTTCTGTGCCCTCCAAACGCCCATATCTGTGTAATTCCATTGTAAATACACAACAAAAATCCTCAAAATGGTATAATCTTTAATCACAACTCTGATGTTGTTACATTTGTTTAGAGACACTAACCTTTAGATTTGAATCCCAACTTCCTGTACACAAGGCACTTCCATCTGCTGACACCCCCAAACAGCTTATCCGATTCTTGTGTGAATCTTGTAGTAACCCCAAATCCAATACTACCTGTGCAAGAAAATTCCCCCCACACATTTCAATCATAACCTTTACAATCACAATGACAGAAAACAACTCTCACTACTACGCATACTCAAATTATTAATAGCTTACCTCTCCCAAGAGAGTATCCCAAACGTAGCAGGAGTTGTTGTTTGCGTAACCAGCGAAAAGAAGTCTCCCCGAGGCAGAGAATGCAATGGAGGTCACAGGTAGGTTCTCACCATCACCTTGTGGCTGATACACCTGGAGTTGATGACCAGTCCTAATGTCATACAACCTGCATGTTCCGTCGTCTGATCCTGTCCCAAATCTATACCCATCCGGAAAGAACTTGACTGTATTAACATCTCCCTCGTGCCCATGAAACGTTCGCACTGCTCGGCTTGCAGCACGAGAGTCCCACAAACGAGCAGTTGTATCGCATGAACCAGATATGAACGAATTTGGGTTTGATCCACTGATTGAGACACTGGAAGAAAGGGGGCACAATAACGGTGTTTAACTGAATTGCAATATATTATCCATGCTAATATGTATGCACAAATCAAATAAACTCCCTATCCTATAGACCAACCCTATAAGTTGATTCCAACGCTAGATCCAAATGGTAACGTAGGACTACAAAGATACGCTGTTAAACAAAGCAATGCCAATAAGCCAAGCAGATGAAAGCAACCTTCATACCTTAGTACATCAGCAGTATGTCCAGACTGAAATTCGCCACCGAAAACAGAAGTTTTGAGGCCAGTAGTTACATCCCATAAGACACATGTTTGATCACCTGAACTGGTGATTAGATGGGTATCCTCATTTGGGACATACTGACAGCACGAAACATACCCCCTGTGACCGCTGAGCATTCTTGAAACCGGTACAGTCCCATCCTTGTCCGCAGTTGAGCTAAGACTAAAGATAGAACATACACTGTCTAATCCACCACACGCAACCGACTGACCATTTGGAGAGAAGGCACATGTCATAACCCATGCGCAAGGGAGTTTTATAGCATGAGTTTTCTGACTCGTTAGAGCATTCCACACGATTAGTCTCCCATCTTGAGATGCACTGACAATCCGATTCTTCTCCGGCGTCCAATCCAATGAATAAACCTGTAAATTCCACATGCTAAAACATTTACAAGCTATACCTCATCTGAAATTCTGTATCAGAGCTAACATTTCTGCAGCTTCTAGACCTCAGCAACCTAAACTCCTCCAAGATAGAAGCTTTTAGTTTCCCCTAAACCCTTAATCACAAGCTACAAAAACTCCATAAATAAGCATACTTGAAAGATAAAGACCATATTTTTTGCATCCCCCAATTCGTCAAATCATACAAAAAAGGCTCAAAGATGGAAACTTTCTCACCTTTCCGGTATGTCCCTGAAGGGTACGACAACAAACCAGATCCGTCGTTCCGAAGCTCACTGGAGTACGTCCTTGCGCCACCGAATAATTGGCCACTAGCAAAATTCAAAGCCCAACTAAGGCAAAAACAGATCTAAGAAGAAGAAAAAATTGTGAAGAAACGAAAAAAAATCCCCAAACCATCGGTATCAAGCAGCTGGAGTCGTCTCTGTCTAAGTCTATCACGGAGGTTATTGACGGTCTCTGTAGCGACGGCGTGGCGTTCTTTGAGCTCGGAGACAGACATTTCCGGTTTAGACTTGGGCTTCTCCGACGCCGATCAAGAAAGGAGATTTTGAAAATTGTCTAGAAGAGAAGAAGATTCATGATTGAGAAAAAGAGAGAGGATTTAGGGGAAATTACGTGGGAAAAGACGAGATGAAGAAAAAAGCTTGAAGCCGTCAGAGTCGGGCTCGGTGTTGTTGTTGTTGATGGCTCTGACCTGACCTGACCACAAAGAGAGAGAGGCAGAGTCAATAGACAATTGACTGTTCCCATTTCGCGTGGACCCCATTCTCGGCTCCAAAACGACGTCGTTTTGCCAAATTCGTATTTGAGATTTGTAATTCTATTTTTTATTGGGGTAACAGACCGAATTAGAATACTTGCAATCATCAAAAGTGAACTTGTGTCATGAATATATATATTTTTTTGATGATTTAAATCCTAAAAACGACTAAAATAATTTATATTTTTTTACCAACCATTAGAGTAAATTATTCTTCAAGTATTTTTCTTAGGTTTCCCAGGATTATGGGTCAAACTGGTCACTTTCAGATCTTTTAAATCGCAGTTTACTAAATGTGATTTATTTCATGATAAATTTTAATTCGATTTTACCAAACTTTGAAGGATTTGTGAGTTTGTATAGTCTAATGATTACTATACTTAGTTTGTGCTAAGCGAAGAGGCAAAAAAAAGTCTAAGAAGATATACTTTGAGTCGCATATATGTTGGCACCTATGTTAACCCTTTAGAGTAATGAATGTTTTGTATGTTTTTGTGTTTTACTTCGTGACAAAAAAAAAAAAAGATTCCACTTGTGCTTCTTCTTTTTTTTTTATAAAAAAATTAGACTTCTACTTTTGTTTGAACATATATTCTATTATTTCAATTTGAAAT